TTTCTTTCTTGTATACTTTTATACAATACTGTATCTTTTTCTTCTTTTTCTAATCCTATTTTTCTTTGATTCTAACGCCTTCGCCCTCAGTTCGAATTATTAGGTTGAGTCATAAGTAATTTCCGTTTTAGGGACGAAAATTAAATGTCATTCTAGTTAAACGTTCTTTAATTATATCACTACAGGTGATGAACAATATCGTTATTCCCCATCTATAATATATATATATATATATATGTGTGTGTGTGTGTGTGTAAAGTCAAAAAGAAAATATAAAGTTGTATCGGAATTAAATAACCCATAACGAAGGGCACCTCGAAGCGATGTAATTGTTAGCGAGCTTGTCTCACTAGAACAATTACGACTAAGTAGTGAGTTCGATTGTCACTGGGTGACCCAAGCTTTCGGCCCTGTGCCACATCTGAGCTACCTTAAAAATAGCTATATATATATATATATATATATATATATATATATATATATATATATATATAACCAAACCATTATATATATATAAAGTCTATTGCTGGTATCTTTTTTTCAAAAAATGTATTGCTGGTAACAATATTTTTACAAAGTATTTCTGGTATTAAAACCTATTCTTATACTTTCATAGTTTTTACCCATACCTGGGACCCTAACAGGCGCTATCACCCCATAGCTGGGACCCTAACAGATGCTATAACCCCGGGTCAGTGTGGACCTGGCAACAGCAGCAATTAAGAGATGCTTCTACGCTCCTCAAAACCTCCTGATCAGAAGCCTTGCTGTTGGACGTAGTTTATCGTCTTACCCAGGACACGGATATAGTTTATCGTCATACCCAGCAACGTATTAACACCAGTTCACGCACGATCACCGAAGTTAAGCAACATCGAGCCTGGACAGATATGAACAGGCTGGAATAAATAGATAGATAGATAGATAGATAGAGAGACCATGATAGAGGCTAATGGTCGCATCATATTGAAACAACTGTTCCTGTATGATCGCTAAGTTAAGCAACGTCGAGCCTTGTCATTACCTAGATGGGGTGACAGCTTGGGAATACCAAGTGCTTGGATGTGCGGGTGGTGTAATGGATAATGGCACGGAATTGTTAATCGGGGAGCCGAGTTCCAATTCCCTTTCTGTTCGTTATATCTACTTACGCGTAAATACCCTTGGTAAATCTATGAATCCACCTCTTTTCTCCCCACCTATGGGTTAAATATAAGCTAGACTTATATCACTTAAACCATTACAGTCTCAAAAAAATCTTACTATCTAAAAATATATGCTGGTTTTAAATAACCTGGAAAGGGTTGATAAACCGTAAAAAACGAATCAACCAAGTCAATTGTAAATGATTATCTTTGGTTCCCAGATTGTGTTTTATTTAACAAGTCTCTGTTATTTCAAAGAATTAATGGATTTATTACCGTGACTCCCCATGTTTAATACGCCTTCATCCATGATACGCACCCACTAAAATGCTGCTGAAGGTATAGGAAAATGCTTGTACTCACGCATAATACGCACCCCTCGTTTGGTAATCAAACCATATAAATTGTACCTCTTCAATTTCAATACGGCCAGCGTTTTCTACTCTTATTAAAAAATGGTTTTAAACATAGAATAATATTATTCTAATGTAGTTTTATGATAATTCTTATTTTATTTTACATTTGTAAGTATTTTTAGGTATATATGATTGTATTTGACATCCTTATGGGGTCACAATCGCCGAAGGTTAGTGTCAAACTGTAGTATGTTTGTGGTGAGTAGTCAGTTCGCTACTGAAATCGAGCTATGAAACAGCAATTTTTAAAGACTTTTGTATCTGTGCATAATGCGCACCCCTAATTTTGCTTATTACTTTTAGAATAAATGCGGATTATACATTGAGAATTACGATAGATTACATAAGACATTGCTCAGAGCCAAAGTCAGCACCTTCAAAACTGACACGAAAATCTTACCTCCATTGAAGAAAATTATGTGCGTTTTTATGTGTGGCTATTATTAGTTTAGATTTTTTAAAAACGCATTTTAACACGAAATGCACATTTATATACACAGCAGCTGCAACGTGTCCATAAAGGTTTGGTCGAAAGTCACCGTGGCATCGTCGAGAGAAAAATGTTTGTTCTTCATGACAGCGCAAGACCGCGCATATAAAAAATAATACAAGGACAATTTTGGAACTCGGTTGGTCTGTTCTATCACATCCGATATATTCCACCAATTAATTATTACTTTTTTCATGTGTTTGCTTACACCGACACGAATATGAATAGGAACGCAATTTGTGATTATTTGTCAGGTCGACGTGAAGCTGAAAGAAGTACTTGTTCTATGTTTTCACACAATTTTAACAATCAAGCTGTTTGTAAAAATCGTTAGTCGTACGAGCGATAACCCAGGATTTGTATATGGGAGGTTTATCGAATACTTCAAGGTTTTCTTTCATTAATACACTTATTCTTTTTCCATTTTTTTTTTTTTGTGATACATTTTT